CAGAGCGCTATTTTAGCCAAACTCGGCTAGTAAGGTGTCATATGACACAAGTCTGTGCTTGGACAGTGTTTACTGTGACGACACGACAAGGTTTACACTCACCCGCTTCAGGCATTCCTTGTACTTTTTGTATTCTACAACACAGTGCTTCCTTAGCTGATACAAAGAACACTCTGTCCTCAGCTTGCTGCTTTGTAATCACTTTCAGTTCTTCTACCAGGAAACCAATGCTTCTTTCTAGATGCTGTTTCTTCACCTACAGTGTTTTAGTTATTAAACAAAATTTGTTAACGACTATTAATTAATTTAAAGGCACCCATTTATGGATATGTAAGCCCCATCAATTTGTTCTTACAAGTCAGTCATTAATCAAAAATCCAATCTTCATTTGGTTTTTCCCATCATCATTGAATTGGACACCAATCTTCCAAAAATATCTAACTCACCTCACCAAGGTAAGCTGAGCAATAGACAGTATAGAAGAAAGAAATACAACTGAGGAAAACTTTAAAGAAAATCATTGTCTGTTTTGTTCAAGCTTGACTGGATATATGTAAATTTATAATTGAAAAAATCACAAAATGAAGTCAAAAATATCAGGAAGTCAAAAATATCCACTTTTTACCAAAAATAACAAACATACATGTATTCATCAAAATTAGAGAACTGAAGATACCATCACAAAATTAATAAATCTGAGAGAGGTCCACCTGAGGTACCTATCGGTATGTATAATATCAAAGTAATCAGACTTGTGTTTTTTAAAAATAAGTTGAAATTATCAATTACAAAATTTCCAAAATTAGAGAATTAAAAATATCATCATGAAATGAACAAATCTAAGAGAGGTCTTCCTTTAGTACCTATATGTAAAATATCAAAGCAATCGGACTTGCGATTTTCAACAAGAAGTCGAAAAAGTAAAAATTAGATGTGGACGACGGCGGACAATCACTCATATATGAAAAAGCTCTGCTTGGAAACTTGGAAAATGGATGTTCTTAAATTATTGATTATCTTGTTTTATACCCCTCTCACCATCATATAGACATAAAATATAATGTAAATAGCTGTTAAAAAAGTTTCCAGATTTTTGGTCAAACAGTCTGGGTACTGAGACGAATATTTATTAATTTTTTTGCTAAAATATTTGAAGGCTCACAAATTTTGCATGTTTAAATCAACAAAGGGTGCTGGGCAGTGGTGAAATAAGTGGGGAAATAAATCAGCCCACACATTATTTGGTGGTGTACATGCTGACCAGAAACAGTAATGCTAACATTTTCTGATAGGGCAGATGTGTAAGTGCTTATGACGGAACAAATACGATAATATAAATGATTACCGGTTTATAGGTATTTCAAGATGACCCAGTGTCATATCTATTTTTTTTTTAAGACCAGCACTTTCAAGATGTTTTTCCATACTGGTTATATGGTATGACAGAAAAAATAAGACTGTATTACAAATCAGACTTACATCTTCCATGGAGTCTGGTTCCGAAGCTGAAGCGTCCCAGCGATTATTCAAAATAAAGATGTTAGGTTTAGACAGTTTCTCAGCTACCTTGTGGAAAAAACTTTTTTCCTGGAAATAAATCATTCACAAGTGTTCAATTATTGCAATTATTAAATAAAAGTTGAGCATGTTTTCTATCAGAATGTAAACTGGATATCAATAATGAAGTACAGACTTGTATTTGTTTGTATAAGATTTCTGTCTACGCACTTTGTGATCTCTTGTTGCTTGGTAACTGTACCTGTGCACTATTGCGTAAATCATGATTTCAAGTACAAAAGCAATCACCATGACTTTCTCGATTTACTATTGTAGCTTTAGTTTTGTACTGAACATGTTCATTTGTTATGATTGGGATTATTTGAAATTCACAAAATGTTCGTAAAATATACATATTTATCCCTACACATCAATTAAACAGTAATACATGTATAATTTGTGACACCTGTGACAAAAAATGTAGATTACAAGACATCAATGTGTGTGGGGTGGATCTATTAGTCTTGCGAAGAATGGCAGTTACACTGTAAATCTATCATAAAAACTGGTTATAAAAATTGCAGGATAGACTTTAGATGTAAATGGCCAACATCTCATTGAGAATGAGAGTCTCAATAATCTTTCTGAACGGCTTTTGCGGCCCAAGGTAGAAGCGGCCAAACTTGCAAGGGAGGGCGAGTAAACCGTACAACCAAGGTGACCATGCCGTGACCTCAAACACATGAAGTAATTTAGAATGACGCGCTTTGTTTTGATTGATGAAAGCAGGGCCAGACGTAATTCGGGAAATTATTGCCTCAATGTGAGGGCGCACTTCCCATAGCATTACAAGGCTGAAAAAATTTGTCCTTCCAGTAGATATTAATTACAGTGTAATACTTACAGTTCTCATTAGAGTGGACTCAGCATTAGCAACTAATACAAAGACATCAGCATCCAGACAATGGTCATCAATCCAACTATCTAAGTCAGCAGTTACATCAACACCAGGACTGCACACAAATACACAGACATTTTAATTGAATTCTTACAGAAGTCCATTTCACCAGAATATTATTTTTTAATAAAGTGGTAGGATTTAATCTTTTTATAGCCAGATGTTTTCCTATGATGGAATTTTGTACATGAAGGTCCCCTAATGCCTAATACATTTACTAAGTTTGAATGAAAAATGCTTAATTTCAAAAAAAAAATTAAAACTAAAAACACAAACATTTGGCCTTTCAGAATCTGATCATCACAAAAATAAATGTGCACATCTGTGACATGATGTATATTTAAAGTTTGAAAATTATTAGTCTAGGCATGTCAGATAATTGACTGTGGAACTGCTTTCACTAAAACATGCAACCTCCAGTCGGCCATTGTGAATCAGATATGAAAAACAAAATGATGTGCATCAAGGTTCAATATTTCAAGTTTGAACGAAATCAATCCATCAATGGTTTTGAAGAATTCTGAGCACAAAGATGGCTGTCATTCTACCATCTTGATTTGGATCATAAAACAAATGTATCATAACACATGTATCCTAAAATGTATGATGTATGCTTGGAATTTGAAAATGTGTGCCTGAACATATACTAACAATGGTGGTGAAAAGGCAATGGTCGTTGGCACACTGCCAAGTATAAATAGATCATGTGACTTACCTATCCACCAATACCAGGTCGTCTTTCAACAGTGCACACCTACTACTGGGCCAGAAGACATGAATAAGACTACTCTGGTCTGCTAATTTCTCATTACTCAGTGCATGTGCTAACTGGGAGACACTCTGGTAAGATAAAGAAAATACAGTTTTAAAACAGAGATGTACCTATGTAACCATATATTTTCAATGATGATGATAAAGATGGTATTTAAAACATCATGTCCATAAAGCTTATGATTATCACTGTTGTTAATTTTGTTCATTCACAAAATATATTTGTTTTTGACCTAAAATTCAACATTTCTGGTAAAAATGATGGGAGTTTAAATGCTGTCATGTTAAGAAGAAACACCAGGTGATAACCTGAAAATGTAAAACAATCAAACAAAGGTACATGTACTCAAACAGACACATATAATTTTTGAATAAACATAGCGGAGTTCAACTTATTTACTTACTCGGACATTTCTTCGTTCGTTAGATTGTGGTATGATGAGATAAGCTTCAGACGTATCACTGCCTTCAATGCTCAGAAAACAATCTGTAGTGTGACCAATACCAGTAGGTAATACTTTATCTTTCAGCATGGCATTAATCACTGTACTTTTACCACTACTAGTCCTGCAATCAAACAACAGCATTGCATCATT